ACCTTCTTGATTACCCTAACGACAAAGTCAAATTCCTTAACCTTTGACCGTCAGCTTCACACCAAATCCTTCGAGCTTTAACTTCATCTAGAGATTATACTTTTCTTGGGAAACTCCTCGGTATCAGACATTATTCCCACCAATTTCCAAAAGGAGTTGCAACTTTTGTTGTTGTTGTAGTTGGATTTGGATGATGAAGATCTAGTCTTGTTTGGATAAACAGACCCCTTGAATTTCACCTGGGTCTGGTACTCAGCGGTAAACCCTAGCTCTTTGTCCACGTACTTTTCGGTATAGGCGAACTTAGCCTCTTGTTTGTAACCCAACTGACCAGTGCTCTTGCCTACTAATTGTTCAGCCTTGTAATTTTTCAGTGTAATGGCTTGAGATTCCACCATATTCATCATTGTAGGAAGATCGAGCTTTGCTCTAAACTTCTCTGGCCTCATTGAGCTTTGGTTTGCTCAAGAGTATCACTTTAAGGTAGCCAATCGTGTCACTGCATGCATACATAGGCTGCTTTGTATCTTTCTTCTTCATCATTATGTTGATTCAGAGGTTCCATGTTTAATTTATGAACTTTGAAACAGCTCTCATAAGGTATTGTGAATTTCGAAATGTCTTTGGCCTCGTCAAATCTTATTAGCAGTTCTTAACTATTCTTGACCTTAGACCTATTTCTTTTTTGGCTAAGAAACTAGTCGACCTTACTGTGATGGTTAATCAAATAATCATAAACAGTGACTTCTATTTCTGCATCTTCACCTTCCTTCGCTTGTTTGTTTCTCAATGTAAATTGGATCTTGCCGGAACATTACACGGAGGGTGTTAAAAATAAAAAAATAAAATGTTCTCGGCATGGTTTCTGGTTCAAATCCCGATATCTTGTACTCTAGATTTTAATGGACTTGTTTTAACCTTCAAATTCTTAAACGTTCTTTTAGCCTTCTCGACCTGGTTTTTTACTCATTCAGTGAGAAATTCACGATCGATCGATTCGACGGAAGTGTGCACCCAATTCTTATCGATTTGGACAGGAATGTTAGTAGTATAACCTTTTCACAAACTTAGCACACTTACTAGAAAGAGTTCCGCGTGGGTGTGAAGTTTGAGTCATCTTTTTGGTAAGAGACTGGTGAAGATTGTAGTGCAGGTGATCAACAAATTGCATCATTATCTTCACGCTGAAACTGAATAGTCACCACTAATTATCCTACTACAATTCATAAACATCATATCGTGCTCTAGTAGTTCTTTTCCAACGATATGTAAATAAGTTCATTTGCCCAAATATTTCAAAGGTATCTTCCACCCAACCCTAACACACCTTTGATAGGCATCTACTGAGTTTAGTTTCCATCTTGAGATTCCGAGTCTGATATCTGAATGAACTATCTAGACCTTGGAAGACACGTTTGTGTTCACTTGTATTGTGGCTTTAGCACATTTTAAAAGTTACACTTCTCTCGAAAGGTGTGTGTGTGTGTTTTTTTTTTTTTTTTGAGGTTGATCACTTACAAGTCCTTCTTTTTTTTCTACCAACATTGACCTTGTTTGACTAGAAATATGAAACTAAGCAAAAATGGAGAGGTGGATTGAGCATTGCAACAGTTCCCAAAAGATACTGCTTGTTGAAGAAGATAACCGGAAGTCATCTACTACTAACATGGTAGCCACTTCTCTTGAATCCCAAGGTACAGTTTTCAAATGGGTTCTTTGTTGGTAAAACACTGGAGTAGTTTGGTCACATTTGGAAGAACATAGGAAGATGGTGTGTTTGGTACTGGATGGAGTTGTTACGACGATAGTTCTTATTTTGTTTAGTTGGGTACGACACTTTTGTGACATGGTACGAAGGTTTCTACAGGCAACACTTATTGACAGAGGAGTTTTGCAAACTGGTATTCGGAGGATCGAATTTACGACGTGCGAAATTGTGCACCCTCAGGAAATTACTGCTTGCTTATCGAGACAATAAATGTGTGGTCGATATCGTAGGCGGCCGACTGTGGTATCGAATACTTATTCGTTGATTTCGTTAAGCAAGTGGGTAGGAAAACCCATCTACGACAGTTTACAAATTCGCTATTGTTAGGGCTCAACCCAAAGACATATGTGTTCTCGGAGTACGTGACGTTCGTATGCTTGGGCGAGACCCACCCTCATTTTTCAGTTTTGATTTTCAGTATAAGTATTTTAACTTCCTTTACTGTAGTTATTTGTTTTTGACGTTACAAATGTTTTGGGGAAAGTATTTCCGTTTTCAGTTTTAAGTTCAGCACGAATTTTCGACCTATATGTTAGTACATATCTATTTGATAATCGTATTTTATGCACTTACTTTTGACCTTAAGCTATTTTGTGTTTTCGACTTTATATCTTATTAAAGTATGTTTCTCTTTTATGTCCCCGGTTCCCTTCCCCTTTTCTTTCTTCTTCTGATTTTTATAACCCTCTCTCTCTCCCTTTTAGCTTTCTCTCATTCACTCATCTCTCTCTCTCGGACTCTTTCCCGATCGACACCCACACACACACCCAGTCACCCTCACACCCTAGGATCCTCCCAGGCAAAAAACTCAAACCCAGGACAGGTCCGTGGTGCACCACAGTGGTGGAGACCACTGTTCTTTCCCTCTCTCGTCGAACTCCGGCGAGTTCCTTGTATCCCCGACGTAGAAACACCTCGGTGGAGTTTCTCCATGTTTTCCGGCGAGGAACCCGTCACTTTCTAGGCAATTTCAGACCAAACCACGACGAGTTGGCCGGCATGCAAGTTTCCGGCGACCTCCGAGGCTTTCGAGGCGTTTTTCGGCCAAACCACGGCGAGTTAGACGTCGTGTGAGGGGAAATTATTGTGGCGTTTCCGTCTTCGCTAGTTTGCGTGGCTCTTCAGCGGCGAAGTATCTGACTTAGAATTCAGGCATACAATCCCGGTGTCAAGGCACTTCCGCATCGGCATCTTCGAGTCCTTTTGGTGTAGGTCCCATTCTTTTATTCATTCAATTTTATATTATTTCTTTTAGTATTCTAGTTAGTTGTATGCTCTGAACACGTTCCTTAAATGCATTTCCATTATTCTTTTATATTTATAAGTCTTATCTACCCCTTATTTTTAGCATTTGCACTCAATAAATGGCTTTCGTCACCCTTGGGTGTGTCGGCCAGCACGTGTCAATCCTGGTATTCTGGAAATATCGGAATCAGGGCGTGTCACAGAGCCAGAAAACCAGATCAGTAAGGCCTTTAAGCCATAGAAAGATTAGCCTTCGAAATATAATTAATGAGAGAAAAAATAAAGGTTTTGTGTTTTGTATTGACATGAAAAATTTTAATCAAATAAGAATGGTGGAGCTTTAAATTTTTCTATGAAAAACCTAGTATTGAAATGAATATATCATAAAAAACAAACTTGTTTACCAACTTTGATTAAAAACAAAATTAACACATTAGAATTGTACAAAAATTGAAAATTACGACTTAAAATTAGATTTTGCCCTAGACTATATATGCATTTTTTTAATATCGACTAGCCAAAAAAGAGAGTATGGTTTTTATATGTTAAAAAACAAGGCTTAGTTTTAATATAGTAAAAAATAAGGCAAATTATAAGAACTTTTTTTTCTTTCAGTTTTAAAAAAAATAAAAATAAATGCTGGAATGCCAAGAAGTCTCGAACCCAGTCATTTGTATTTGCAAAATCCCAGTAGCCAATGAGCCACGTGCTCATGTTTGTAAAATCTTGCAGAGAGTATCTACATACTCTAAATTTTCAGGGTAGGCCTGGGCCATCCTCTATTTGGCTCCGCCACTGTGCCCAGGGGCCTCTAGTCGAAGATATCATCGTTAAATGTTGTTATTCCGGCACAGTATTCAATGAATATGATAAATGATTTTGGAGTAGAGATGTCTACTCAAAATGAAACCACTAACTATATATCGTATGTTATTTTTCCACGCATTATACGTTGTATGTGATTCACTGAGATTCGACGTGAAACTTTACGTCCTTTAAACACATCCCGTTACATAAGGACGCCAACTCTTAGAAAATGAGAACTTGCTCAATTTGTTTTCTTATATTGAAGTCAATGTTTAAAATATTTACGAAATTGTTAAGTCGTAAGTTTCAAACTCTCATTGTTATATAATATTCCTTTCATAGTATCATTGATTAGTTGTATACTCTGAACAGATTCCCGTATTCGCATATCTCATCTGTCGTAACCATTGCCTATCCCTATTGTGGTTTATAAAAAAATTAAAATTATTTTATTCTTAATTTATTAATATTTAATTAAATTTTTAATCCAATTAGACGAGGGGGTGGACTCTGCGCACGGTATGTTAGTAGTTAACAAACAAATTGATGAAATGTTATATATAACATTTTTTTTAAAGCGAGACAATGAATGGCAAGTTATGGTTATCCAACCATTCCGGATGACGGAAAGTGATATATAACATTTCAGTGATTAAAAAAAATGAGATATGCATAACAGTAATACAAAATTGAGGTAGTAAAATATAATTTATTCATAATATAATATAGCTACAACTTTCTAGCTCATTTACTCCACCGACATAATGTGCTATAATTCGAGTCTGAATCCTCGTCGGATCCTCTTGGTGAGGATCCGGGGATCCACGTATCTTATCCGTTCATCGTACATCGTACGGTCAGAAATTATTTTAAATTTTATTATTTAAAATTGAATACAAACAATACCAGAGAAAAACTGATACGATGAATATATATGATTCACGGATCCATAGGATCTCACGAAAGGTATCCGGAGAGAATCATGTTGGCTATAATTCGCTCGCGTATGAATGAATCTTCCTTTGTGCTTTCGTCATGGGCTAGACCTATACCAACAATACGTCGAGTGCGTGGAGGAAAAAGTACGGAAACTGCTCCCGGTCATTCTTCAGGGCACGCGTTTTTTTTTTTTACACAAAGACTTTGGGTAGACTTGTTAATTGTTATTAAGGAAGACATTAAATTGGTCATTTACAGACAAACATTGCGATAGGCAGTGTAAACGGCTTCGTCAAGAGACTCCAAATTCCAGTGAGAAAATTAGTTAAACAGGCACCGCCTCACCCTTTCTATGTTTTTCTTACGATCATGAAGAACCGCAACACCAAACACCCTAATAAAACTCTCCCTCCTCTTCTCCTTCCCCTTTTTCTCCACATGATAACCATACACATGGCCGGGGACTCACCGCCAATCTACGATCCGCCTGAACAAATCAACCTTCAATGTGGCTCTTCCGGTACCAATGTCGACGAAGCCAACCGACTGTGGGAAGGAGATTTTGAAAAAGGATTTTTTCCATACGAGGACAAATCCATAATCAAAGAAGCACCTTCTCCCTCTTCTTCCGGCCAAGTGCCTTACAGCACAGCAAGGCTTTCCCGCTTTGAATTTACCTACACATTTCCACTCTCTTCCGGCCCAAAGTTCATCCGCTTGTATTTCTACCCAGCATCATACGCCCCCAACTTCAACCGATCCCAAGCCCTCTTCTCAGTCAAAGCCGGTGGCTTTACCCTTCTCCACGACTTCAACGCTTCAGCCACGGCTGATGCTTCTGCCTCGGATACTATATACAGAGAGTTCTGCCTCCACACTGAGTCAGGACAGGATTTGAGTATCAGCTTCACTCCAAGCAAAGCAAGCCCAGATGCCTACGCGTTTATCAATGGGATTGAAATTCTCTCCATGCCCCCATATCTTTACTACACTTCACCCAAGAGCCCGGATGGGGTTGCTCATGTAGGCAGTGAAAAGACGATTCGCATCGAGAACAACACTGCTCTGGAGATGGTGTACCGAATCAATATGGGTGGCGGAAGGCGGATCTCTTCCGATCAGGACACTGGTATGTACCGCAATTGGGATGGTTTGCGAGACGAATACAACTACTTAGACGATTTAAGTAGGCAGTTTAGTTACTTACCACCGCAATACAATAGCAGTCAGCTTTACTTTTCTAAAATACCATCGTACTCTGCTCCGAAAGAAGTTTACCAAACCGGCCGCTCAATGGACACCATAAGCAACAGCCACAATCTCACCTGGGAATTCCCTGTGGATTCAATGTTTGCTTACTTGGTTAGGCTTCATTTTTGTGAGTTTCTAAGTACTGTTATGAAGCCCGGAGACCGGGTATTTAACATCTACATCGCCAATCAATCCGTTGAGAAAATGGCGGATATAATCGCGTGGAGTGGTGGAAATGAAAGACCAGTGTACAGAGACTACGTTGTGTTCTTGTCGGGGAACCCTGCAATCCCGAAGAAAGTCAATCTCTTTCTTGCACTGGAATCGGATTTGTTGAATGGGTACTTTGTCCCAATCTTGAGCGGACTCGAAATGTTCAAACTCAGTGCAAATCGGAGTCTCGCCGGACCAAGCCCTGACCCACCTCCTATAGCCCCAGCAAAGGGGACACCATCAAAAACTAGCACCAGATCAAGAACTCCTTTGCTTGCCACGGTTGTCGGTGTAGCTTGCGGAATACTTGGACTCTCTGTCCTTGGGTTCTTGGTTTTTAGGCGGCGGCGGAAAGTCAAGGGCACTGCCTCAGATGGGTCATCATCTTTACCAACACATTTGTGTCGTTACTTTTCACTGGCGGAGATCAAAGCCGCCACCCAAAACTTCAGCCAGAGTTTCATTGTTGGTGTAGGCGGCTTCGGTCACGTGTACAAAGGGCATATCGACGGCGGGGCCACTCCCGTTGCTATCAAACGGCTGAAACCCGACTCATCGCAAGGAGCCCGCGAGTTCAAGACGGAAATCGAGCTGCTTTCAGAACTTAGACACCGTCATTTGGTGTCTCTCATTGGGTATTGTACTGATAAAAATGAGATGATTTTGGTGTACGATTACATGGCACGTGGAACCCTCGCTGATCACCTCTACCAAACTGACAACCCACTTCTCTCCTGGGGACAACGGCTCCAAATTTGCATTGGCGCTGCGCGAGGGCTGCGCTACCTTCACAGCGATGCCCAGGGCACAATCATCCACCGTGATGTGAAGAGCACAAACATTTTATTAGATGAGAAATGGGTTGCCAAGGTTTCGGATTTCGGATTGTCGAAAGTGGGCACGGCCACCATGTCCAAGACCCACATCAGCACGGCCGTGAAAGGTAGCTTCGGGTATCTAGACCCAGAATATTACCGACGTCAACAACTGACGGTGAAGTCCGACGTGTACTCATTCGGTGTAGTGTTGTGTGAGGTGTTGTGCGCAAGACCAGCTGTGGTGCATGCAACGGAGACGAGGCAAATGAACTTGGCTGAGTGGACCAAGAGCTGTCATCGCGACGGGGAACTTGATCAAATCATCGATCCGAACATGAAGGGTAAGATTGAAACCGAGTGTTTGAACAAGTATGTGGAAATTGCTATGAGTTGCATCAATGACAGTGGGATGGAAAGGCCGTCAATGAATGACGTTGTCAGGGGGCTTGAGTTTGCATTGCAACTACATCAGAACCGCGGTGAAAGGAACAACGAGGATGCCTTTGCTAGCATGCCAGGTTGCGCTACGAATGAATCCGTTCAGTGCATATCGGAGACGATCTTCTCAGAGATCAACGATCCGAATGGGAGATGATAGAGCAACATTAGAGTAATCTGGCTAGACTAAGGGCTATGGGTAAACCTAACCATGACATGAGTATATTTTTTCTTATCTATTGTGTTTGAACCCAATTGAATGCTGAATCACTTGCAGTGCCTGCCATTGCGTTATATTGCAGAACTATTTCTACAAACAAACTGTACTTATGACTACACAATTGCGGGAGAAACTTAAAAGTGCTTCTAAATAGAAGCGTTTTCTAAACAAGCACATGCCAAGTGCTTCTCCATAAAGCACTCCCAAGCCTTTTTCCAAGAAACACACTGATTTTAGTAAAACCTTGTGTATTTTTAATAAAAGCACCTGTCAACAAAACTGCTTACAAAAACAGTTTCATACGATCCCCAATTTGGCTGGAATATGCTCCATTACAATTTCCGGACAAGAGAATTTTCCTGTTATACGCAACGGAAGTTACTACAGTAGATCATCAGCTATCCTGTAAGCTCGAATGGTGCTGATAACGTTTGCAATATTACCCTGACAATGAGAAACTCTGTCAATATACGATTATATAATGAAGATTTACGGACAATGCAATACAAAGAGTGGTTTGATATACGGTAGCAATGAATCGGTTCTTAGTGGGCAGTTAATAATGAAAAAGCGGCTGAAGTTACTTACCCTCCAAGTTGCTAACTTTGTTCTTAGTGTAAGCCATTGTTCTTCCCCAAATACTCTCTCATTACAGCGGCTGCAGATGAAAGGCCAATTCATTTCAACAACAAAGAATGAATAAACAAATATATGCATCTTTGTGCGTACGCAGATGGTACGAAACACAACCTAACCTCACAATCACCACTTGATTCATCTGGTCCATTTTACAGTCCATCAACTTGGCAGTTATACCACCCAAAGCTCAACTTCGTCATCATTAATCTGCCAAAATGAAGTGCACAAGCATAATTAACCATGATGTCAGATTATAACTTCTGGGACGAGAAAGTTAAGCCAACCTAACGTTGAAGAGTATCTTTGATAGCACCGTAAGGAATCCGTCCAGATTCATCAGGACCAAGATCCATCAAGGAAATCAACCTCATCTTAGTTATGCTGTCTTCATGGAAGACAAACAGAAAAATATATATAATCCGAAGAAAACAGTCAGATGAAACTAAACTTTACCGTAGCTTTTCAGTAAATCAGAATTTGCAGCTTGAAACTCCAAGTAAGCATCGAGCCTCTCAGTCAGAAAGATCTTCATAAGCTGATATGCCAATGCATGCTTAGCATCCTTCTCCAGTTGCTCTACAGCAGGCATATTTAGCAAGTCACACTGCAGCATAACAAAACCAACATATCAGTTATCTAAATAGGGGGGAATTTGATCATCGTCAGAGCCAAATTAATGTCAAGCACCCAGTTGTTTTGAAGTGATGATATTAAACCAGCACTCCGTCGTGTTTATACAGATATTATATGTAACTGCAGAGGAAGCATAGTAGCTTCTTCAAAATGCCAGAGAAACAATAAAGTCCATAAAGAGTCGATTCTAAACTCCACCACATAACAATAGAATGTTTTTTAACAAGAAAAAGAAACATACTTTGTAAAGGATGAACAGTCACCAAAGAGAAACATGGACTAAAGAATTAGTTTAAAAAAATCTTTCAAATTCCACAAGATCCAACAAAAATACATGAAACATGTCTGAGGCTTTCACAAATTCCACAATTGTGCGTACAGCTTCCTCTTTGGTCAGGAATTTGAAAGACTCCCTTGCCAAGCTAAAAATACAACCGAAAATATAATTAATTGTTCTTAAAACAAATCGAGGAGAGACATGTACATATAGAAAAAAGATTACAATGTTGGATTTATCCAATATAAATCAACTTTTAAGTGGTCTACTACATGTAATAGGAATGTAATATTGGAAAATAATGTTAATTGTGATTTGATCTCTTAAAGATATCAATCCTATATAAGGTGTCTTATATTGGAAATAGGATTGATGAAATCCTTAATTGAATATGATTATGATATATGTGTTAAATGAATCCAATTCTATAGAGAAAAAGGTTTGAAACCCAGACCCTCTCTCTTCTCTTCTCTTCTCCGTGCGTCGTTACCGCCTCCTGCGGTGGCGAATCTTGACCCAAGTTTTATTTTCTCTGCTCCGAGTCTTCCGGGTAGCAGAGAAAAACCTGATTCGATTGGTATGAAACGAATTCGAACCGACAACCAGCTTGAGAGAGAGGGGTCCGCGATGGGTCCTGCGATCAACTATCCTTTGGAACCACTTCCAAAAATGGACTTCAAGGCCAAATTGATGGGTCTTGTAGATGCAAACCCACAGATGGAAGGGATCCCAGGTGAGGAGACTGACCAATTTAAAATTGGTGATGGGGATTTTGAAATCTATGAGGAACCACGTGGACCTTGCATCAAGTTCACGGATCCAGTCAAATCTCGACTCCTTCGTCCATGGAGAAAGGCCATTATTATCAAGATCATGGGTAAGTCTCACACTCACAATTTCGTCCTTGGTCGTCTGCAACAACGGTGGAGCATGCTCCAAGGGCGGTTCTCTCTAATTGATTTGGAAAATAATTTCTTTATTGTGAAATTTGCTCTAGAAAGTGATATGAAAAATATTTTGTGCGGAAGACCTTGGATTATTGCAGGACAATATTTGGTTATGCAAAAATGGAGAGCTGGGTTTGACCCTCATAGTGAGTCGATCAACCGTATGGCTGTTTGGGTGAGAATTGTTGGGCTACACATTGAGTGGTTCAATCCGGAAGCCATGAAAAGAATTGGGGATCTTATTGGCACAACTCTTCGGGTTGATGCGCACACTGCCTCCCAAGTTAGAGGCAAATATGCTAGAGTTTGTGTTGAATTGGACTTAACAAAGCCCCTAATTTCTAATGTCAAAGTTGAGAACTGCTGGTATGCTGTGGAGTATGAGGGGTTACACCTTGTTTGCTTCAACTGTGGTTGCTATGGCCATCGTGAACAGTGCCCCTCTCTGATCAGGAAACAATCCACAACTCTGGATCCAGATATAGAGACCAACCAACCTATGGATGAGGACTCAGTCCAAGACCAAGTTATGAGTTCAAATGTTGGTAAATCAGATAAGAGCTGCACTACTGAGGTTGGGAAGGATATGAAGACTCATGATTCTCCCTTGATCGGGCCCTGGAGCATTGTGACATATAATCGTCGAGCCAAGCCAAGCAAGAAATCTAAATTGGATCAAAATGCCACGAAGTTGAGTAATTCTGGCTCTAGATTCTGTTCGCTAGGTCTGGAGGATGTTGATCCGAATACTACTGACAAAGCTAAGTCTGTACATGGCAAGGAACATACAATGGAGAATACTGTGGGGCTTGAAAAGAAGAAACAAAAAAGAGGTAGACCTAGGAAGGCTCTAGGGGACATCTCTAACAAGGAGAAGGAATGCTCTAGTGGTTTTAGTATGGGGGCGGCTAGTGCCAATTTAAAGCTTGGAAACACCTCATCCCAGTCACCAAAATCCTCGCTGAGGAAAATCAATGCCAAGTCTAGGCTTGCCACAACTTCTTCCAACGGCGTCCAAGTTAATGGCATGGACTTTCAAGAAAGTGAGTTGGGGAGCTTTAACTTTAATGTTGTTGATCCTCAAGCTGCCTATGATGCAGCAGACAAAAGCATTCAAATTTATGGACATGAACCGCCATATATTGATCAAAATGATACGGATATGTCAGTTGTGAATTCGCTGGAGAATGGAAGCCTCGTTAATGATGGTTTTGTGTCCTTGGAGAAAGATAGGCTTCAAGAAGCCATGATTGATGCTCAAACTGGTTTGGTGGGTGGCCCATCTCCTCTGGTAGAGGAGTCAATACCCCCATTTTGATTGGGTCCATCCCCCAGGTATCCTACATCTTTACTTATTTTATGATGATTATGGTATGAAATGTAAGAGGTGCTGGAGGGAAACCTTTCTCTGTTACTGCTAAAGATCTCGTCAGATTGAACAAAGTGAACATCTTTGCTATCTTAGAACCCAGGATCAGTGGTGAGAGGGCAATTGAAGTCATAAAAGGTTTGGGTTTTTCAAATTATTATGTTGTTGATGCCAATGGTTTCTCTGGTGGTGTTTGGCTTCTATGGAATAATGAGGTTGTGAAGTTGACAGTTGTGGCTTGCTCCTCCCAAACAATCACTGCTGTTGTTTTGGATGGTCAGACTCAGTGGATGTTAACGGTGGTGTATGCCTCTCCCTGCCCTCGAGTGAGGAGCCACTTATGGCCTTATCTGGATGGGGTTTCTGCAGCCTCTAATATGCCTTGGCTTATTGCAGGTGATTTCAATGAATTGATTCATAGCTCTGAGAAAAAGGGGGGTAGGCCTGTTAATAAAAATAGTGGTCTTGGTAATTGGATCTCTAGGAATAGCTTGGTAGACCTTGGGTTCATTGGTGCTAAATTTACTTGGAGCAAGAAAAACGAGTATGGTGATATTGTTTGGGAAAGACTTGATAGAGGCCTTTGTAATATAGCTTGGAGACACCTATACTCTGAGGCTTATGTTAGGCATCTTGCTAAAGTGAATTCTGATCATTGCCCCTTGCTTATCGGCCTTAATTCTAATCATATTCCTAAACCTGATTTGAAAGCTTTCAGATTCCAAGCTATGTGGATGCTTCACCAGGAATTTGAACCTTTTGTTAATGATACTTGGAATAGCGCTCAAGGTGATGCTAGTTGTAAATCTATCACTCTTTCTTCTGCTCTTCAAAGCTGGAACCACAATGTATTTGGATGTATTTTTCAAAAGAAAAGAAGGTTCCTAGCTCGTATATGCGGAATTCAAAAGGCTCTCTGCGTTCGTCATGTGCCGTATTTGTTTGCTTTAGAAAATCAGCTCACCAATGAGTATAATACTATCCTTGAGCAAGAAGAACTCTTTTGGCTTCAAAAATCAAGAAATACTTGGCTTAGAGAAGGAGATAAAAATACCAAGTTTTTCCATCTCTCTGCGGTGGTGCGGAGAAGGAAAAATAAACTTGAAGGCCTTAATAATTCTGAAGGAGTTTGGACAGATGAAAAAGAGAATTTAAAGTCGATTGTTGTCAATTACTTCAAAGATCTTTTTTCCTTTCGCATAACGACGACAAAAATGGAGAGTTTGCCCCATCTTTTCCCTTGTCTTAGTGGTGAAGACTTAGCTATCCTGAATGGGGAAGTCACCGATGATGAGATTAAAGATTGTATGTTTGCTATTGGTGGTCTCAAGGCCCCTGGACCTGATGGTATCCCTGCTCGATTCTATCAAAAATTTTGGCATCTTTGTGGCAAGGATATTAGCGATATGGTTAAGGTTTGTTTCAATTCAACCCAACTCCCTGACAATATCAATAATACCTTCATCTCATTGATTCCTAAGGTTGATAATCCTACAAGCATGACTCAGTTGAGGCCTATTAGTCTGTGTTCTACTCTTTACAAGGTCATCTCTAAAATTTTGGTGGGTAAATTGCGACCGCTTGTCCATAAACTTGTTAGCCCTACTCAAGTGAGCTTCGTCCCAGGTAGGCAAATTATTGATTATGTCATTGTTGCTCAAGAAATCCTCCATAAGTACAGGAACACCAAAGGTAAAAAAGGGTTCATTGCTTGGAAAATTGACCTTTCCAAAGCTTATGATCGGCTTCAGTGGAGTTTTATTAGAGATGTTCTATGGGAGATTGGGCTAAGAGGGAAAGTCTTGGAACTTATCATGCAATGCGTTACCACAGTCAAATACCAAGCTATTGTTAATGGTGAGATCACTGATTCTTTCTCCCCACATTGTGGAATCAGACAGGGAGATCCCCTTTCTCCCTATTTATTTGTGCTCTGCATGGAAAAACTCTATCATATCATTAATGGATGCAT